AAATTAGTTGAGAACAAATTGACCCATGATTGGACACACATTATACATAATGCTAAAGATAGTGTTGTTTTCAGACTTGACACCACTGCCAAATTGCCACCGCGTCACTCGGTGGCAATTGACACTACCAAACATTAAAGCTCACGTCTCGACTGTTGTCATTATAATTGAAAAAATGTTCATAAACGCTGGAAATATTTAGGAACAAGGGTCGGAAGTCGTAATGGACGTCATGCTCGACTCAATTCAGAGTCCGAATATAGATCTAGATCTAGATCTAGATCTAGATCTAGATCTAGATCTAGATCTAGATATAATCTAGATATAAGATCTAGATCTAAATCTAAATCTAATTATAATTTTTGTCTACTATTCAGGACTCCAGTCCGAATTGACCGAATAGTCACTTCGCTTTTAAATCAATGTGGCAACCAAACCTGAAAATAAAGTTCAGAACTCAAAGAGAAAAGGGTTGAACTTTCTGTCAGCCTCCGTATGAAGAATATGAGGCTGTAAAACGTTTTTCAACGCTCTTTTCCGTTTTGTTGATTTTTTTTTGTGAGAACAAGCTTTGTCCTGTAAGGAAATTATTAGTACTTTTTTAGTACCCGTAATACAGTTTCAGTAGTTAAAAATCAAAGAGAATCCGTGATCGTTTAATTTCGCAGAAATAAAAGCGCTTGAGATACTTTCGCAACGTTTGTACATAGCCTAGTCTAACGAAAAGATACAATCACGGCGATAATAAACCATCCTTAAGGTCCTCTGTCTTACATTTAAAAAAATTTTAAGTCACAACGCTAGGAAGGGGGGTGGGGATGGGGAAGCAAGCGCGAGAGGGCAAAAGGTCAATAAGCCTCTATGCAATTTTGCAGAGAATTGAAAACAGGAACGAACGAAGGGCTCGGCCTCCTCAGTAAAAGAAAGCAACAACAACAAGTTCAGCTTCTTCTAGAGCTGCTGATATTGATGATATATTTTAAGAAAGAAGTGTCTTCAAGTTCGATTCATTTTTATCAAACAATGGATATGACGCTGACAGCCATTGGCAATGTTGCAAAGAGTAAAGATTATAATATTATATTTGTCTTGCCAGGAGAACTCGAGATGGCCCTGTTTTTGCATTTTCCATGTATTTTACTTTAGTTCACCATACCCATGACCACGTGAAAGAGGTTTCATTTGAAGCTTCACAAACTGAATCACATAATCAGGCATCCTGGCTTCACTACAGATGTTGTCACATGCTAGAGTCAGTTAGCCTAGATGAAATTTTGCACTTCGTGTGTAACCTTCCAGAGAGACATTGTTGGCCTACACTACTACTACTACTACTTGTTGAGTAGGGTTTTTAAAATAAAATGGAAACCACTGAAAAACTGTGCAGAAACTGATTAGTGGCGATTTTGTGGGACT